AAAAGGATAATTTGACAAGAATGCAAGTTGTTTCAGTTTGGCAAAGACGTTATGCCGTATTTATTTGAACTTACAAAATTTTTTCTGATTTTGAGAAGGTCGACTAGTATTCCTCTCTATTACTTTTTTCTTGGAATTATGAATAATAATTCGTCCCGCACGCTTAGCGCCTGCACCACCGAGCATTATCACTACATCGCTCCGGCACCATCACGAGAAGCTGGCGAGGCCAAAATAGTGGGGGCTACCAGCTGAGGGTGGGGTAGAAGGCGTTTTGCATTTTCGCGGGTTTCTTTTGCTGGTTCTCTCAAACTCGCATATCCCCCTCATCAGACTTGTGTACTCTTGTTAAAGGCAGTTGGCACGATGATTTGGTGCTCGGCCTAAAATGCTAGTAGGGCGCTATATAGTGGGGAAATGGCGAAAGAACGGAGTGAAACGGTCAAAATCCTGCGAAGAAAGAGCCTCCGTTCTCAATGTGTTCAATTTTGGACGAGTTTCCCGTAGGCATCTTGCCAATAACCGCTACCGAAGGTACGGCTGCATATGTGTACCCATATATCCATGCAGCATCACGGCCGCTTCATACCAATCCCTTCGCTTCATAATTTGCTTAGCAAATGAATCAAACGAGCGTCAGGAACGGTCGTCCATTTGTGGGCGGGCGGGCGTGGCGGGCGTTTGGGTCGGTATGTTGTGGCTTGATAGGGCCCTTATAAGGGCACCTTCCTTGGAGAAGCCGCTATGCAGCGCCTGCTCAGGGTCGCGGAATTCCGTCCTGCCAGGCGTATTGATCCTAGTCGTCTTGGGGGATTTATCGTGCCAACCGCCTTTAAATAGCCACTACGATTCTGAATGGAAGTAGAATGCGTGCCGCATCCCACAAAGGGATTGATTAACGGCGAAGACTTTATCCTTTTTATACAATACATGGAGTAAAACTTATTTTCAACACGAAACAACATCAATCAGACATCAAGACATGAAGCACTGGTTACGGCGCCCAAGGACCAATAATATCTCGATGATGAAGAGAATGAGACAAAGAATGAGTGCACCTTAACCCAGAAAAGCACCTGTGAAAACTTATGAAGGGCTGAGTTAGCGGGAAGAAATTGATCAC